AAGAATGATATTCAATCCTGTGATTAAATTAAAACGTAGAGGATACTATACTGTAGAAAAGCTCTGCACCTAGAGTTTTACTTTTTTAAAGACGAATTCTGCTGGGAGATGTTGCTAATGTATTTTCTTTCAAGATGTGAACAAACTTTTTTAGAACATTAACGGAAATTCCTGTATTGGTTTTTAACACAATTTTTTTAAATAAAAAGTTTACAGTCATGGCAAAAAGGCTTTGCTGACTATTTACATATTTGCCTAAAATACAGATGAATAAACTTGTTTTTACTGAGACACCTCCTAATATTTGATCTTGCTTATGCTGTTTCTTTTTGATGCACAATTACGTACTGAATTGTAAAACTGGTTTCCTAAAGAGTGGCAATAGAAATATCCTATGAAGTGTTTAGATAAAAAATTCACTTTGTCAGCAATTGGGTAGTCTTGCATTTTAATAATCAAATTTACATATTACTTTAAATCGAAAGATAAAAACGTATTGCACTTTTACATTTGTTTATTTTGTGAAACCTGTTGAATTCCAATGATTCTCCACTCTGAACTGCTTTTAAAATCAGTGCCTTATATCTTGACTCAAGAAATCTGTGGAAAAAATCTACCATCTTTCATTATACCTTCCTTCTCATTCTTTTCATGACTTGTTCTTTGTAGACTTGTAGATCAGTTGGAGAAGGAGAAAATATAAATACGGGTCTCTTCTCAAGAGCAAATTGGGTTTTGTCCCATCGATGTGAATGTAAAGTAGTTCAAAGTCAGTAGGCATTTTGTAACCTTACTGAGCTGCTGAGTTTGATCTCTGATTTGAGTCCTATTAGTTTCCCCATCAAGCAATCAAAGTTTAATTCACATTACCTTGTAGTCAAAGATAAGTACCAGACATCAGCTGTTATGCAGTGTTTTGTCAAAAAGTAAGCAGTTTGTATGTCTGTTTCTGCAAACATCTATTGAATGGTCATGGGGTGTGGGTTGTTGGGTTTTTTTCTGTCCAAACATTAGACAACTCAAAGATACCTAAGAGACTGGGAAGCCCTGTTTCTCCAAATGAAAACAGGTGAGTAGTAGTGAATATCCACTGTGTTAAATACTATTCTCTTGAAACAGCGTACTTCCTAAGTGGTGTCTATGTGCTGTCCTCTACCCAGAAGAGAGTATTTCATGCACAGCTGGTGTAGTTTTACATGGAAGCTCATCATCAGTGTTAGACAAGTGAACAAATAGGTTAAGAAGCGTTGAACTGTCAAGTTTTTTTGTCTAGAAGGGGCTCTCTGGTTCTTACTGAATCATATTGAGCAGGATTTTGTAAATTGAACTTTCCAGTCGTTAGGACTAAGGTAAGTTTCAATTTCTTAAATATTTCTCCTGATGTAAAATTGTTTTTTATTGATTTTTTTCTCTTCAGGAATAAAGTCTGTGTTCTGCATTGCAGCAAACTCCTGTGACCCAGCCTTGGAATTTCTGAAGGGGGTGATTTGTCCTGAGCTCTTTCATGCTTACTTAAGCACCATTTTTAAAAAGCGAAGGAAAAGTCTGCTCCTGAGGCAAACCATGCTGGATCTTACACTGAGTCTGTGCTGGGAAAGGGCTGTTGCTACATGACTTAATTTTGGAGTAACTATGATTTTTTCATTGTTCAAGTTGCCTATTACTGCTATATTTCAACTATGTTGACAGACTGCAAAGATAAGGTGTAGTGAAATGTTCTTTGAAATAAAATCTTTATTCGGAACAACTAAGAACATACCGGGATTGTGTTTGCAAAGCGTCATGTTCAATATTTCTTTCAAGTGCTTTAATTGCAGCGGTAGTGAATATGAGAAACAGAGCGATTTTCTGTCCTCTTCGTCCTCTGATTTGCAAGTGAGTGTTGTGAGTTTGGCTGGGCCTGGAAGGAAACTTGCCAGGGTATGAATGTTCTTACTTTCCTGCAAATCGCCTTCCTTTCTGGATTGAGATGGGAGCGATCCCTTTGATTGACTGTCTCTCATATTTACTCATGCTCTAGCGAAGTGCAGCCAAAGGGGTGCCTCCTGTCATCCCCTCATCTTCAGCTGTTGAAAGCTGATGCCGTTTTCACAAGGAGCAATATGGGGACGTTCCTACAAGCAATAGGATGGTACTGTTAATCTTCTCTGTGTCCTGTCCCTTCTCCTAAATTTTGATCTGGGGGAAAGAAATGACGAGCCTGAAGCAAATAGACTAGCGTCTGTTCTGGGGGCAGAACTCGGGGCCAGGAAGGGACTAGGCTGACAAATCTTTAGGGACTGGCCAAAGCCCAATGTGTGGGAAGGAAAGTAGTAAGGGCCTAAAAAGGTCAGGAAAAGACAAAACTGAAACCTGCAACTTTGTTATACACAAATCTCACCTGAGGGCTGCCTGATGACTTTTTGATAACCTTTGGGATTGGCACTGTTTAGAAATGGCTGTGCATAAGAATTCCCGTTCTGTTTTAACAAACTTCGAAGTGGGTGCTTGGTCTGTAGGATTAAGTCTCTGCAACTGGATGATGAGGTAAGTGGGAGCAACTGGACGCTTCGGGGAAATTGTAAAGGACTGGTGCCGTTTGCAAATGTAGCAGTTGGTGCAGAGAACTGTTGGAGAATGGCCTGCTTGCAGATAAGCACCTAATCATCGTGCCTGACGTGAGCCTTTGTGCTGCTGTCGGAATAGAAGTTGAAGGCTTTAGCTACGTCAGCACACTGCAGAAACAGCTGAACTGCCACCCACCCGAACCACGTTCATCTAATGTTGCTTCTAAGTCAAAAAGTCCTGCTAAAGTGGCTCTGGAGTGGTTTTCTTTGTGGTACTGCTCAATGACACAGGGCCGTGTCAGGCTGTTCAGCACCAGTGAACTTGCAGCTTGTAAACAGCTTTGCCCCAGAGCCCTCATGTATTTTCTTCTCTGAGTGTTTTGTTTTATAGCACTTTGGGACATGAGTTATCCACATGCCCCGGTATAGCCCTAAGGACAAAGGATTAAGATTGCCCTGCCTTTGACTTCAAATTTTTGAAACAGGGAATAAAAGTGCAGCTGAAGTTAACACGGAGAAACTAATACAGTGACGTTCCTGAACATAGAAGAAAAACACCATCTGCTTTAGTCACCTTTCAAGGGATGTATTTACAAGCACCTCAGGGAATTGTCAATAAACAGCAGGGAACAATTATTTCTGTTAGATTTTAATATGTTTTGCTCATCTATATCTGCTTGGATATTCAAATGGCTTGGAATAAAGCTATTTTCAATAAAACTGAGTTGCTCTAAAATAAAAAAAAAAAAATCTTGGGGTAGTTTTGCATGTTATGTTTTTGCCTCTGAAATAATTAAAGCACATTTTTCTTCTAACTGTTCACCCTTGCTGCCTTACTAGTAGGCATCTGTCCTGAACAGGTTTGATCTTACAGCTCAGCGTGAGAAACCAAATAATTAGGAAAATGCTACAAATGACTTTAAATGGATATTGTCACATATTTGGGAGGGTATTGCAATAAGCATGTCAATCCCAGTTTTGCAAGCTGTTTGTGCTTATGGTTTTCACTGTAATTTAAAACATCCATTCAATGGTGTAGTTTCCTCTCTGTGAAGCTGAGAAAGGATTCTCTGGGAAGCAATCAGCTTTGAATGACCCGTCTGGGGCAAATGTGATTACTGGCAGGGATGAAGACGAGTGAAATGAAGCTGGAGCCAGATCTTCAAAGATATTCCAGATGATGGATGCCTGCAGAAAACAGCCATATAATTAATGCAGCTATATGTCAGACTCATAAATTACATATGAAAAGCCACCTCTTATTTTCTCTCAAATAACAAGCAACAGATTTGTGTCCTTTGAGAAGGCTGCTTTCTGCTGCTGCAGCCTTCAGAGATGGCTTGGTCTGAAATGCTATGCTTGATTTGATTGTCAATATTAAAAAGTGTTTTGTGAAAAATACTCTTATTTGGGGGAAAATTTTAAGACTTTGGAGCCGAAATGCTTCTACTGTGGCTTTTAGGTTATCTAGCACAACAGGGTTCAAACTATTGTGATGTACAGTATCAAGAAGTGTGTAATGAGCTATTCTACACAGCATGGGGACCTCACCTGGAGGATTATTTATGTTGCTAGTGTTTGAGATCTGAACAGTAGCTGAGCCCCGTAATATTAAGAGGTGTACAGCAGAGGAGCAGTCCTCAATCTGTACCCTCTGGCTTTATAGAATCATAGAATCATTTAGGTTGGAAAAGACCCTTGAGATAGTCGAGTCCAACCGTAAACCCAAGACTGCCAAGTCCACCACTAAACCATGTCCCTAAGCACCACATCTACATGCCTTTTAAATACCTCCAGGGATGGTGACTCAACCACTTCCCTGGGCAGCCTGTTCCAATGTTTGACAACCCTTTCGGTGAAGAAATTTTTCCTAATATCCAATCTAAACCTCCCCTGGCGCAACTTGAGGCCATTTCCTCTCGTCCTATCGCTTGTGGCTTGGGAGAAGAGACCGACACCCACCTCGCTACAACCTCCTGTCAGGTAGCTGTAGAGAGCCGTAAGATCTCTCCTCAGCCTCCTTTTCTCCAGGCTAAACAACCCCAGTTCCCTCAGCTATTCCTCATAGGACTTGTTTTCTCTTTATCTTCTCTTTCTGTCTTGTCTTGTTCTTGTTTTTTTCTCTCTAGTGACAGATATTACTGATTTGTAGAAATAATTTCCAGCTTGGATTTTGTGGGGTGTAAAACCAGCTGGGCCAAGCGCATCCCCAGCCAGAAGACAGCCACAGAAGACCATGGAGTTACATCAGAGACAACCCTGATCCACAAGGCTTTGTTTCTGTAAACATCCCCTCCTCACCAGGGTAACTAACTCCCAGAGGGCTCTCATACAAATGGGGATTTCCCCTTCTCTCACCCTGCCTCCCTCTTCAGCGCTTCGCATGAGCGCTGTGCTGTTTCAAGGTATGCTGCCGTCTCATCTGTGAGGGTATCAGAGCTTCCCTCGAATGGGATGGATCCCCAGAGAGAGATGCCCAGGAAAAACAACACAGAGCATCTAATTGGTAAGCCTTGCTTTTTGTGTGTGTGTGTTTTTCTCAATAATAACAAAAAGGAGCAAAACTAACCAAACAAAAAAAGTACATTTGAATCCAGGCATTCACCATGTCTCCCACGTAGGCTGCGGATGAAAATTCAGAATCTGCCACTGTGAGTGACAGAGCAAATTACCTCACACTGTCCTGCCAGCATGCGTCAGCATCTGTCTTCTGGCAAAATGACCCCAGGGGCTAAAACGGCTGATTCAGCCATTGATACACTTCTGTATGTAGGAATGGGGTGGAAAGGGGAAAATATGAGTTAGTTAGGGAAAGCAGAAGAATTTTTCAGCCCCAAAAGGGCACTTGATGTGTTTGGACTTGTGTGATGAGCACCTGGTGCTCTCTTCAAGCAAGGGAACTGCTGCCAAACCAAAGCTGTTACTGGCAATGTGTGCTGTTTTCACCACTGTCTCTGGCCATTAGTAGGGGTAGTACAGTGGGACAAGTCTGACTCTCAGCAGGATTGATCTGGGTACTTGCAGAAAGCAGGAGGGTACACAGTGGTCACAAAAGGCTGAAGCTACTCCATATCTCTTTGTCGCTGTAGGAGACTTGGGAGATTTTTGCCCACCGTTCTTTGTATTCTTCACAAGACAACTTGGACATGAGCTTTTCATTTGCTTTTCAAGTTTGACACCCACGTCACGGTTTGGTGTATCAAGTGTGTTCGTGATCATAGAATCATAGAATCATTTAGGTTGGAAAAGATCTTTAAGATCATCGAGTCCAACCACAAATGAGTGTATCAAGAAAAAACAAAGTGAATCTTATGAGTGTCCTGGAGCTTTTCCACAACTGCTGATTGATGAGCTCTCACATTTTGCAGTGCATTGCAGCTCTTGGTTTGCTCTGGACTGTAGACCCAAGTGAGGTTTTTGGTGGTTATGACTACTGTAATCCATATACAGGCATGGCAAAACCAGGTCACCGGTATGTTGGATTGTGACTGATCCTTATTCTTCACTATTGTGATTTTCTAGAGTATTCCATTTGTCTTGTGGTTAAATGGTTTGAAACTTTGGGGTAATATGAGAACATTTGTGGTGTTTTTTTGCGATCTAGGTCTGGATTCACTATTAAAAAGGCATACTGTCATATCCTGCTTTTCTCATTGGACTCTACGTTGGAAACAGGATCTCTAGGACAGTTCTTGTGGAGAAGGATTCACTTGTACTTTGTCAAGTTTTGGATGTGTGCTTCTTGTCCATAGTGGTGACAAATGATATTTTGACCTACCTGTTCTCAGCTGCTTGAATATCAATCTGCAGGGTGTGGGCATTTGTTCCCAGCCATTGCCCCCATCTGTGGATTGTGTCACTCCTACCAGGTATCTTCACAGTGGTCTCAGGTGGATGATGGCAGGTGATGTTAGAATCCAAAATTGCTTTTGAAGAGGTTCTTCATGACCAAGTTCGGCACTGGAGAAAAAGCTCTTCAGATGTTTTTCTGTACGCTAATCATTTAGGTGAAATAAAGAGAGAGGAGAACATTGGGTTCTGCTGAACAAAATATCCCTTTGTGATTAATTTCCCCAAGCTTCAGATAAAGAATTATGAATGATACCCATTCCACAAGTTTCCTTGATCTCTTTCCACTGATTAAAAGGCGCTTAACTGCTGGTACTTCATGTACCTGTTGTAGCCTGACATACCACTAGTGTAACGTGAAGAACACTGTGTGCTAAACAAGCAGCAGTGAAAGCATTAAAGATTTTCACATTAAATCTTAAAAGTCCTGTCTTCAAACACATGGCCTTAAGGCTTGCATGGTAATTTACTCAGGGGAGCTCCTCAAATCTTTCCTACCACTGACTGCAGCATGGCCGATGATACCTCATTAAACAACCAGGGATTTCAAATTACTGTTTGTTGGGAAGGGTCAGGAGGAAAGCCGGGCTCGCGGTGCAGCAATTCTGTGCCCAGCTCTCAGGGCAAACAGTCAAAGGGAGGCCTGAAACTTGGCCCTCTTGGACACAAACGTATTTATGTGTGAGTGATCAAATCTGCAGCAGGGACCTCAGAAGTAGGAAGGGAAAAACTGCAAACAGCAATGGGCTTGGTGGTAACACCCAGGTATTCAGTTAACCTGATTTCATTGCCAGCGTGTGTAGTGCAGCTATGCACCTGAGAGAAGAAAGAGCTGCAGGAGGGCTGTGTTGTGTCTCCTCCTCCGGGGTTGCTGGGGGTTTTCTGACAAACCTGTCAGTCCTGCTCCCCTGGTCTGCTAGCTTGTGCCTTACAGATCAGGTAGCCTCACGCTGTTTCACTGTGGTGACAAGTTTTTTCTCATGATGTATAAAGCAAATTGTTTTCTATTTATCAGTTTCTATCTGCATATGAATTTTATTTGATGTCAGAAATTCCCAGTGCTACCCTGTACCTTTGAGGTAACATATCCAAAAACATGCTGCACCTTTGCATCAGCATGTGGGAGGTTCTCTGAGGAGACCTCTGAGCCTTCGTCCCTCTCTCCTGCCTCTTCCCCTTGCGTTGGGAAACATAGGCTGTGGCGTTCAGCTTCCCATCTGCTGTTGCTCATGCCTGCAAAAATCCTCTTCTGGCCCAAACCTGGCAGTCAGGAAGCCCTTAGGGCTAGCCCAGCCTGCATCCCTGGTGCTTCTGCTTTTCTTGTGACTCTCCTGATCCAAGGCATTTCTGCATTTAGCAAAATTCAGTTGACCTTGCAGCACTCTGTCCTGGTGGCAGGACAGGCCTGTTTCACTCCTCACCCTCTTCCGTGCCTCTTCTGTGAGGACCTCAGCAGCTCCAGCTGCTCTTCAAAGAGCAACAGCTCCCTGATCACCTTTCCCTTACAAAAAGCCTCCCAAACTTTTAGTACTTGAACAACGACGCACCACTGCCTTCCCTTCAGGTGGTAAAATAATGAAATTATTTTGATATATTTTGATTTCATTATAAGGAAATAATGAAATTTCCTTATAAAGAAATTTTGGGATGAGAAGAGCTGAACGCCATGAGAGAACTGCTCAAAATGCAAGGGCGTGCATTTTGACAAGCACTGATTTTGAAGCTTGTGGTCCAGTGGATGAACTGGTCCTTCAATATTCCTCAAAACTTTCATCTAAAGACAGTAGGAGTTCCCCTCATTTTCTTTATTACCTGTTTCATACAAACTAAATCTTTTGCCCCAGCCGTGGCGCACTGACAGAGATTCATATCCATGGATACTCCACCCAAAGGTTTATTTCTCCTTCACAGCCCCCAGCTTTGGCAATGTTTGCCATTTTTCCTCTTTCTTTCCTGTTGCAAAATGTACTTTCTGAACCTTTTGACCTTTGGGGCAGAAGGGACATAAGATTGGATGTTTGGTTAGGTGTTTTACAGCTTTCAGTGAGTGATGGGAGGGAGGTAAGAGTGAACTAGTCTCTGTGGACTTTGCAGTCCCTCATGGGGGATCTAGCACTGGGCTAGATCTACATCCCTCAGAGAACTCTTCAAAATTTGCATTTGCTGCTTTTCTTATTTTTTTTTTTATAGCCGACAGGCGGGAAGGAATTGGTGTCTGCGGCTGGATCCTGATTTCCCTTTCTTTCCTCCTTGTGCTTATTACTTTCCCTATTTCCACCTGGGCATGTATCAAGGTAAGCTAGTGGGATTTGGAGCACATAAAGAATGCTCTATGATTATAATTGTTACTTATGTTTATTGATTTATTGATTTTGTTAAAACAAGTCACTTTACATTCATTTCTTGGAAATTTTAAGGGCTTGTAGCGAAGATGTGGTCTGGGACCAAGAGATCCATGTTCTTCCACTGACTTTCTGTATCACCATAACTTACTCATTTAATGTCTTCCCGTCTGAACTTCCATCCGCAGTTAAACTTCCCTGCTTTACAACAACACTAGGAGAATAAATACACAAACTTTTCTGAAGAACTCATATTTGCTGCCAGCAATAGTGGTTAACATGGGTACTGATGAAAAACGGAGCAAGTCCTTGCATTGAGGGACTATGCAACCTAAACCCACAGTCCCTTCAAGGCATGAGCATAATATGATTAATTTAAAGCAAATTTTAGGGGCGAGTTACCAGAGTGATTGCCCTGAACACCAGGCCTTGAGTAGTCCTAATACACTAACCAAAGTAGTTAGGTAGATTACCTGAGGTGAGACATACTTTGCCCACAGCTCCTCTGAGTGTAGCACGGATGTTGAGACAGTTGTGGGTACCCTCATTGGATCAGTGGCAACTCTTTTATATTTGATCTGCTTTGTAAAATATTTGCAGGGCCAGAGTCTGAGTTTTTTCCAGCAAAGGATGAGGTGAGGAGAAGGCATAAAATGCCTAGTGACTTGCAGCTTTGTTGGTTCCTATATTATTTGTACTTTTTTTCACATTTAATACAGATGCCAAAGATTAAAGAAAAAAACAGTCCAGCGCAGGAATAGAGTTAGTTGTAAAATTCTAAATTTAAAATATTTTCCTAGGTGATCAGAGAATATGAACGTGCTGTTGTATTTCGGCTGGGACGTATACTGTCGAAGAAAGCAAAGGGACCAGGTGAATGCATGCAGTTTTATTCTGTTAAGATGCACTGTTTTTATTTTATTACGATGCACTCTAATCACATAGAGAATTGCAGAGGTCCATGAAATCCTTCTTCATAGCATGGGGGGGGGATGAGATGGTCCTCTCTGCTGCAGTTCCTTCACCTGCAGGCTGTTTGTTTTTCTGAAGAGAAGATAAAGCCACCCCCCTGTCACAGCTCAACACTGAAGGCTGAGGACCTTGATACCAGGTATGGCTTTGCTGTTGGATAGGTTGGACAATGGAAGGTTGAGTTCATGCTGCAGACACCGGTGAGGGACCGGGGAGATTTAAATGCAGTCTTCAGCTCTGCTGCAGACTTTGTTGGGTGACTGTGGCCACTCTCCCTGTACCTCACTTCCAATAGTGCTCATTGTTGCCAGCTCTTTAGCTGTCTTCTGCTCTGAAAATTGTAAATATGTCAGGGCAGAGACACTCTGCATCTATACAGAGTTTTTTACAGTCACCTAGGATCAGGTTGCAAATCACAAATACAAACCAAACCCAACAACATGAGGTATTTGCATTGGTGCAGTTACCACCTCTGTGCAATGAAACTGGGCAAACTGGAAGTTGAAATAAGAGGAAGAAGTTCTTTCCAGATACTCTCTTCCCTCTTGAATAACCATGTGGTCCAAAGAGCAGCTAAGGCAGGTGCAGAACTCTTCTGTGTGGCTCTGGGCACCTAAGAATCATAGAGTCATAGAATCATTAAGGTTGGAAAAGACCTCTAAGATCATCGAGTCCAACCGTCAACCCAACACCACCATGCCCACTAAACCATGTCCCTAAGTGCCTCATCTACACGTCTTTTAAAT